TGAGCCGACGGGACGTGCTCATCAAGCGCTGGCCCCCGCCCCTGCAGTGGCAGTACTTCCGCTCGCTCCTGCCTGATGCCTCCATCACCATGTGCCCCTCCTGCTTCCAGGTACCGTGCCTACAGCTCATGCGTGGTCACCAGTTTCTTCTTTCTGCTGCTTGTCCATTTCCCAAGTGTCCTCTTGGGGACACCTGGCATCTGGGAGGAGCATAAGGGATCCCAAGGCCAAGGCTCTGAATTGGGAAGAGACTCGGCCATCCTTAGGCCCTCCCTCCTCTCACTTATGTTCCGAATGCTGTCTGGAGCAGGCTTGCCCCTGCCCCTGTGCCCTCTGTACCTGCCCCTAATCTGGGAGGGCCGGGCAAGTGTGATGCACCTTTGAATTCCATTTAGAAAAAAGGGGCCTCAGACCCCAGACCCTTCTCCCCTCCCTTTCAGTCCTCAGACAAAGGTGTTCTGGATCTGGTGGTTCTAGCCCTGACTCACTGCCAAGCCTCCTCCCCTCGGAAGGGCGGCAGTCCCTGCCAGGCTCGGGGCGTGGCCCCGGGTCATGACTGTTTCTCCTCAGATGTTCCACTCAGAGGACTACGAGCTGCTGGTGCTTCAGCACACCTGCTGCCCCTACTGTCGGAGGCGCATCGACGACCCCAGCCCATGACTGGCCCCCTCCGAACCACCGCTCCCACCGGGGTCACCTCGCACTTGGCTGGGCTGTCAAAGGAGGAAAGAATTAAACTGTCAGAATGTGTCTTCTGCCCAGATCAAGTGTGTATTTTAGGGAGGGGCCTTGTGTAACCACGGAATTCCTATTTATGGCATTTCGTGCCTTGTAAATAGCACCAGGAGATGGAGAAGAGAAAGTACATATTTTCTGAGGAAAGAAATGTGTTACTTTCAGAGAGGCTCTGAGTTGTTCGCCGCAGCCTGCTGGAGTCCACAGATCTGTCAGACCATTAACATGTACACTTTGCGAACAGATTGCCTCAATAATTACAAATAAAAGGGCTACTTATTTTCATCAGTGTCTGCATTTTAGCAAATCTTCATATTGTCTGCAACTTAATTTCCTTATGCAAAAGTGCACCTGTTTCTAATTTGATCTGAGAGGAACATTACGTTTGCCTGCTCTTAAAATGTAATCTAATCGAAATGGCAATATGGGATTGGGTAGGGGAACGGGTATCTATTTATTTTGGTTTAGCGGGGCTCCGTCTTGACCAGAAAATAAGGTTCCTGGCTCCAAAGAAGATGACAAGGGGGCCTCTCCTCAGAGGTTCTGGAGCCCACCCTCTGCTTCCTGGCTAGGGCCAGGCTCCCCTCCTTCTCCCCATTCCCCTAGCCCCACAGAGGCCCCAACCCCACCGAGGCTTTCCCCTTCCCTCCAGCTTCTGAAGCCAATGGGTCTGTTTGAGGTTCTGCTAAGGTCCCCGCCCCTGAGCATCAACAGTTTCCCATTCAGCAGCTCAAGGGCAAGGGTGGGTAGCACATGGGAGGCTGGGGAGGGCGAGCTGACATTTATTGGGGACCTTCTCTGTACCAGCCGAGTTTCATAGATTATCTCAATTCTCACACCAGCCTTGTGATGGAAGGGTTAGGATTTCCATTCTGCAACCATGGGGTTGGGTGGAGGTACTGGGGCCCAAGGGCTCACCCAGCCCTGGGTGGAAGCCCCTGATCTGTCCTGCCCTAAGGCCCCTGCTCCCTTTGCCCTCCATTCTACCTGCCCCGGGGGTGTCAATGATCCAGAGCTTTATGCAAAGTCCTGACAGCAGGGGAAAGAGAACTGGGCTGCCGGATAAGAAACCCGCCCTGGTGATTAGGTATTGATACTTTTCAGCTCATCTGTGAAGTGGGCAGAGCGGGACAAATGTCCCCATTGCAGGCATGAAGACTGAGGCCTAGAGAAGGGAGCGGCTACAGAGGCCACCCAGCGGTGAGTGCTGAAGCTGGCCCCCTGCCCTACCCCTTTCCCCCTGCCTCCCTCTGCATTTCTCTTTGGAGATGATGGAGGAAAATGAAGAAAGGGAGCCAGACAGTTGTGCCAACAGAACTCCTTCGTTGAGTGTCTAATTACTTACGATCATGCATGCTCTCTCTCTTGCTAAACATTTATTAATGTGTTAGGATTTCCATTAGCGCATTACTTGAACTAAAATCATTTGCATATGGCTGGGAAAAAGAGGGGAGAGAGAGAAAACAGTCCCAGCCACCCAACAGGCGTCAATCACAGTGACAGATCAGATGGTCCGTGGCTAGAGGCAGGGGGATGGGGCCCAGCCTGAGACTACAGCATGCATCCTCTCAGCCGAATAATACAAAAACCAGGGTGTACCATGACAAGTTCTGCTGCCATGGGGAAGCTGAGCTCTGGAAGTCTGAGTCTGAGAAACAATCACTGTAGCTGCCTTTAAATCAAATGCTCATTGAGTACCAAACACCATGCTAAACACCTTCCATGCATCATCTTACTTAATCCTCGACAGCCTCCAAGGGTGCCCATTATGCAGATGATGAAACTGAGGCTCAGCAACATTCTCTCCTTTCATTCAACAAATACTTACTGAGCCAAGATAGGATTCATACCCAGGCACAACCTTTACACCTAAGCATTCTGTTCTGTGTCTCCCCTGTCCCAGACTAGACGGCATCTTGATCAGGCCTGTTCTCTCTCCAAGGCTCATTTTCCTCATGTGTGCAAAAGGGCCTACTCCAGCTCTGACCTTGAGGCTCGAGCCTCAGTCTCCATCTGATGAGCCTGACGACCCTTCACATGCCACAAGGAAAGCGCTGTGGAGAGATTGAGATACCCATTTCACTAAGAGGACACTGAGGCCTGGAGAGACACTTGGCTGCTAGAGGCTGCACAGCTTGGTTGTTCAGGTTGCGACTTGATCCTCCAAGTCCCCAACACTACCCATGTCCCTGGAAGGAGGAAATAGATAGAAGGGGATCGTGTGGCCCAGTTAGAGCCCCAGGCCAGGCCTTAGGTGGGCCTGGCTCTAGCCTGGCCTCAACCAGCTGGGTGTCCGCCATGCACCCCCAGTGAGGCTCCTGAAGCTGGGAGCCCCTCATGGCTCTCGCACAGGTACAGTGATAGCCCATCTGCTATGGCAGATACCAGGTGACCTTCCACTTGTGCCAGCCTCAGGGCCGTTGGGAGCCTTAGCAAAGAGGCCTGCACTGGGCAGGGCTTTCAACCTGGGTCAAGCACTTATCCCAGTACTCCGCCCAGACTCCAGAATATCTTCCTAGAATGGGAATCTGATCATGCCCCTCCTCTGCTTACAACCCTCCCCATTGATAGCCAGCTAGCATCCAGACTCCTAGGCCTGTCCTCCCTGGCCCCACTCCACCCTAGGCTCCAGGGCCAGGTGGCCCTTTGCTCCCTGTGCCTTGGCCCAATTGTCCCCCTGCCTAGGCCTCCCACCTCCCTTCTGGTCCACACCTTGCTCCTCTGGGATCCCACAGCACTGGGCCTGAGAGCAGAGCCTTGCCTCCCATGGTTATTAGTTTTCTCCTTGTCAGCTGGCCCCTGAAACTGGGAGCTCCTTGAGGGCAGGGAGTGCATAGGATTCATCTGAGTGTCCCCTGTACCTAGCCCCGAGCCTGGTACATAGACGGTGTTTGGCAAATGTTGGGGTAAGAGGGAAGTGGGGGGAGGGAGGAGGGAGGAAGTGGGACTGGAGGAGAAGAGGAAGGAAGGGGGGAGAAGAGTCTGTCTCCTTCCTTTCTTCCCTTTGACATTCTCAGCTCAGTCTAAGGCCTCCCTCAGCCATGGTGACGCAGCCAGGTGGGGCTAAGCCCGGGAGAGGAGGCAGGGAAGAGGAGGAGGAGGAAAAGGAGGAGGAAGCTGCTGAACCAGCAGCACCTCTATGCAGGGGCTTAAGAGCTATTTGTGTGCTACCTGCTAAGCCCCTAATCCTCCATGGCCAAGTCAGAGCCCTGCACCTGGGCTCCAAGGGGGCCAGGCTCAGGGAAGCCTGGAGGTGGGTGCCACCATCTTCAGAGACAGCCACCCCCAGCTCCCCACCTCCACACATCATCCCCAAGCCTGACTGAGGGGCCAGTGACTCAGAAAGTCACCCACACTGGGATTTGTCCTTTGGCGTGCTCCCAGGCCCTCTCTGAGCACCTACCATGGCAGAAGAAAGCTCAGGCTGGGGAACTAGACAGCCGGTTCACTTCCGGCTCTGCTGAGGAAGCCACTTCCTCAGTGGTCAGAGGGTAGGGAGTGAGACCTCCTCACGAGGGGCCAGGAGTTGTTCATTCATTTGACAACTATTTATTGAGTTGCTACTCCAAGCTGCCAGCTCAGATGCAGCAAAGTCCAGGCGAGGCCAGCCCTGCACTCTGGAGAGAGGTGGGCAGTGAGTCAGGAGGCAAACAAGACTGTTGCTGATAGTGGTACGTACTGAGTAGAAAATCAATGTGAAGGAGTGGGGGTCCTGCTTTGTAGACTTGGGGGCCTCTCCAAGGAGTGCTTTGTAAACTGAGACCAGACCTTCGAAAGCTGAGTTAGATTCTAAGAGGCTAACACTGTCAGCAGCAGTCATTGATCACTTACAGGCAACAGAGTAGGAAACTGAGGCACAGGGAAGGGAGGGGGCTGGGCTGCGCCCAGGTTACGTGCTTACAGAGTCTTAGTCCAGGTGTAAGGGTAAGTGTAAAGGGACCATGCCCAATGGAGGGGGACCATGACACCTAAATTGTGAGATTGGAAGGTCTGTGACTGGGCCCTGGTGGAAAAGCAGGTCATGTTTACCCAGCAGATGGGCATGGATCCCCCAGGGTTTCCTAGTTCCAACAAACTGAGGCCGGAGAGGGGAAGTGGGACTCCCTAGGCTAGAGTCCAGTGCCACCCCCTGCCCTCTGGGCCACCACTGCTGCCCCAGGCCTGTGTGACTCAGGCTAGTGGCTTTCCCATCAGCCCAACACAACCCTTTTTTGGTCATTTATACCATGGTGTGAATGGCAGCAGATCTTTCCTGAGAGCTGTCTTTGGCGTGGGGAGGGAGGCAAGGCCAGGCAGGTGATAGCCCAGATTTGTCACGTGACCTGGGCTACTGACTCACTGCCGACCCTGGGCCTCAGTCTCTCCACCTGTGAAATGTAGCAGGGAGGGTCAGAGTAGGTGACTTCTAATGACTTCCTGCTTACTGTGAGCCTATTGCTCTGAACAAAGAGCATTTTTAGTTTAAAAAAAGATTCGTTGTCGTGCCTCACAGAATACAGGTCAATGTTACTCTGTGAGGCCTTTGATTCCCCATGGCCCTGGTCCTGTGAGGGAGGGTCATTAAACTCTGAGACATAGAAAGGGAAGCACTGACTGAGATAACCTAGATCTATTCACTTGATCCACAAATACTAAGCACCTACTATGTGCCAGACTCTGAGGAAACAGACAGAAATCCCAGCTCTTTCCCGTGCATGGGGAAATGATTTACAGCGTTCTGCTACGTGCTGAGCACATGCTCCGCTCCGGGAACCCTGTTGAGAGCTGGGCAGGCCCCCTCCACGCCCGCCTGCTCACATGACAGCCAGTGAGATGGACAAAAAACACGGGAACAGAACATAAATTAAAAGCTTCCAGGCTGTCCCAAGCGTTAGGAGGAGGTGAAGGCAAGGCTTTGAGGTCTAGGATTGGGGGCTCACCCCCGCCAACACAGGGCTGTGTGTGGCTGGTCTTGGCCCAGGGAACCAGGGCTCCTCCCTCCATCCGGCTACTGGGCCACAGTTAGAATCAAACCCTCCACCTTGACCTCATTAGCATTGGGCCTAATCCCTGAGCCAGGTCCCTTAAACCGTGAGAGGTCCCGCCACACCCGCCAGCCATTGCCTTCCGCTGCGCTCATTCATCCCCCCAGCACACATTTCATCAGCCCCCCATATGCAAGCCCCAACACCACCTGGGACAGGAGGGGTCTGGAGCCCCAGGCGGGCTGGAGGGAAGGGGGACTTTTCTGAGTGAACAGGTCTGGGAATCTCAGGCGGGAAGAGGCTACACGGAAGAGAGTACACGGGAAGGAGGTCTTGGGGACCGGGACACTTCCCCGCTGGGTCCTTCCTTCACCAAGTCCACAGTGCAAACTTCACCCTCCCAGACTGCTCCAAATGACAGGGTGTTGGAGTGGGTCACAGTCTGAACTCTTCCTATTCCAGTGGTTTCAATACGTGTTTGTTTGTAAGCCCTGCCGGCCCCACAGAATGACACTTCCCGCGGGCATCCTCCTCCTCCACTGTGTTTGTCAGAACCAAGCACCGTGTGTGGAACACCGTAGGTGCTCCATACATGTTTGTGGCAGGAGGGTGGTCATCAAGCACCCTGTGCCAGGCACTCCCATCTGCCCCAGACATTCCTCAGAAGCATCACTGTGCTCCTTTCACTGATGGGGGGAGCCTGTCCAGGTCAAACCTCCATTTGCCCCCCAGAACCCGCCCTCGTGGGGCTACCTGTCACATGGGCTTCCAAGGCCCACTGGCCCAGCCCAGTCTGACCCGACGTCCCTGGATGTGCCCTGTGTGCCGCAGTGTCCAACCAGTTCAGTTTCCAGGCTTGGCCTTGCCTTCACACTGGAGTCCCCAGGAGGCCTTGCTCACGGCAGTAGTCTGGTGCCCAGCACCGCACCTGGTACATAGCCACCTCCTGGATGCCAGGGCTCCCTTTAGGAGCCTTGAGAGCCTCTGCCCCCTTCCTGCTCCAGTCACCCTCTCCCTGGTCTCCTTTTCTAGCCTCACTTCCTCCAATACATCTGTGGGGGCATTTGAGCCACGTTTCTGCCCCTGAGACCTGCCCAAGCCACTGCCCGCTGCCCAGGCTCCTCAGCTTGGCACTGAGACGCACCAGAGCTGGCCCCACAGCGCAGGTGTGGCCTCAGGCGTCTGCCAGCCCTTGTCTTCAGTCTCCCCTGTCTTTCCCACCTGGCAACCTAGCGAAACACTCCCCTTCCTCAAAGACCCAAACTTCCCCTCTACAGACACCTCCCCTTTAAAGGGAGTCTCCCCTCCCTGGATCTGTTCTTCCCACATCTTCCCACATCTTCCCACATCTTCTATCCCCAGTGGTCTGCACACAAATGTTTAATGAACGGGAGAGTGAGGGAATTCCAACTCGAATACCTACTGAGCTCCGGGGCTATGCCGGGTTGTGTGTCCAGCATGGAGAGTGCCAGAGCAGGCAGGACGCGGCCCCTGCCCTCACGGTGGTCATAATCTGGTGAGATGGGCTGGGGTCAGGGCCTGGCTGTGGGTGAGCCAGCCGGTGAGGGCTGGGGAAGAAATAGGTAAGGGGCTGAGTGAGGGGTTGAGAGACTAAGAGAATAACCAGAGCCTCTACCCTCAGGGAGCTCATGGTCCGGGGGGGGGAGACAAAGCTCACATGAAGTGAGGGAGACATGGCATGGAGCCAGCGGTCCCAATGCCAGGTCACAGCCACCAGACTGATACGGGCAGAGATTCCTGGGGACCAGAAGAGTTGGGGGCGGGCCTCCTGCCCTTTCCCAGGGTCCCCAGCCCCTCCCCTCTCTGGCCCCAGGCTTCTGTCTAGAGTCACCTTGGCCCCTCATGGAAGCCAATTAGGCCCCCAGTTGCAGTGGGGATTAATATGATTAATAACGCCCCCAATCTCCCAGGTGCTGATTCAGCCAGGAGCTTAGGGAGGGGAGGTCACTTTATAAGGGCCTGGGTGGGGGGGTCAGAGCCCAGAGTGGTCCAGCTGGAGCCCTAGGTGGCTGAGCTCAGGCCTCCACAGCACTCTGGTCTGAGCCGCCCACAGGGCAGCCACCAGGACCGCAGCCATGAATGGGACAGAGGGCTCGAACTTCTACGTGCCCTTCTCCAACAAGACAGGGGTGGTGCGCAGCCCCTTCGAGTTCCCACAGTACTACCTGGCTGAGCCATGGCAGTTCTCCATGCTGGCCGCCTACATGTTCCTGCTGATTGTGCTCGGCTTCCCCATCAACTTCCTCACGCTCTACGTCACCATCCAGCACAAGAAGCTACGCACGCCACTCAACTACATCCTGCTCAACCTGGCCGTGGCCGACCTCTTCATGGTCTTCGGGGGCTTCACCACCACCCTCTACACCTCGCTGCACGGATACTTTGTCTTTGGGCCCACGGGATGCAATCTGGAGGGCTTCTTTGCCACGCTGGGCGGTATGAGCCGGGGTAGGGGTGGTGGGACGGGGGATACAGGAGCCAGGGGGAGTGGAGGGATCTGGAGACAGCCCCATATCCAGGGATAGTGGCTAAGAGGCCTTCTCCCCTCTACGTTCGTCAGCATTGTCCGCTTGATCAACAAACACCGTTAGTGATGCTACGCCAGGCTGTTTATTGAGGGCGGCCATCGGACGCTATAGATCTCATGTAGAGTGGTGCCACTATCTTGCTTCACATCAGGGAAACTGAGCACGAGAGACGTCAAGGGCCTTGCTGGGGTCACACTGTGGTGGGGATAGAGCTGAGTTTCCAGCCCACATCACTGTGGCCCCTCGAGCCTTGCTCTGTTTCCCTTGGAGTAGCTATGCTGGGTCTGACCCATGCCGGGCACTGGAGAGAGAGGTGGATAAGACAGATCCCTGTGCTCAGGGCTCTCAGCCCAGAGTGGGACACAGATGATCAGTCCTCCAGCCACCAGATTCTGCCTGTGCTGGGCAATGGGCTCAGTCTCTCCCCACTGGCATCTCTCCGACCCTGCAGAGAAGGGTCCATCTGTATGTGGTACCCCTGTTTCACCCCTGCCTTGTGACCTGCGGCTGGGTGTTGTGTGGTCATCAAAGGTGACAAACACCCAGCGATGGCTGGAGATTCCCTGGGAATGGGGCTGAGACAGCGTCCTGGACCACGTGAAGGAAAGAGAAACCAAGGAGGCAGAGCAGTCCTCGTGGCTGGTGCTCGGCCCCGCCCGCTTGCCCGAGAGGCTGTGTGTCCCAGAGGAGGGGGAACATTCCTGGATCTGAGCCGGACGACCCAGGCCCAGGTCTCTTCCCTTCTCCGGGCCTCACTTTCCTCAGCTGCTATACGGGATCTGTTATCTCTGCAGCACCCCCATCTTCTTTCCTGTCAAAGAAATTATTCGAAAGCACCCGTCAAAGCTACAGATCACCACACAGTTTAATGCCTTCTGTGGAAGGGGTTTCTTCGAAGGGGAAGAGTTTCCCCACACAGAAAGGCTGGAGGTGGGCTGGGAAGTCTCAGGCTAGAAGGCAGGGGTGAGATGGGGGCCGCGTGCGGGCACATCTCTGCAGGGCTGGGGCCAGTTTACAATTATCATTCTGGAGTAATAATTAGTTGTGTTCGCTTTCTCTCTCAGAAATGTCCTGGTTTGGTTGATAAATTCTATGGCCAACCTCCCTACTGAGTTTCTGGGGGTGATGTCTGAATGCCCCCATTCTTTCCTGCTCCTTCCTCTGGGCAAATCACTCTCCAGTTTCCTGGCTCCAAGGCGGGAGACCCAGAGGCCCAGGTTATTTCATTCCCCAGTGGGGAGAGGCCACGCCACAAGAGGGAGGGAAAGACTTCCAACCCCAACAGGCACGCTGCCTGTCACCCCACAAAGAACCAGTTCTGTAAAAACTCCCTACGGGGCTCCCAGTCTAACGATGACCCTGGAATCCGATTTTCCATCCCTCATGAACCCAGAGCTCTAACTGAACTAACTCCTCTTCCTGGGGGATGCCCTGCTCACTCTCCTTCAGCATACGGGTCCTTCTGCCCCAGAGCCCATCCCCGGTCCTGGCTCCAGCCCTGCCCTAGCTTGCCTTCCTGGCTGCCCTCTCCCATCCAGGAGGAGTGCTTCCTGCTTGGACAGACAGCAGGGTCCAGGAGGGTGGTGTGTTGACTGATCCCTGACTGCCTTGCAGGTGAAATTGCCCTGTGGTCTTTGGTGGTCCTGGCCATTGAGCGGTATGTGGTGGTGTGTAAGCCCATGAGCAACTTCCGCTTCGGGGAGAACCATGCCATCATGGGCGTCGCCCTCACCTGGTTCATGGCACTGGCCTGTGCTGCACCCCCCCTCGTTGGCTGGTCCAGGTAATGACACTGAGCAGAAGAGAATGGTCTCTGGGGGGGTCTTTGTAGGGTCCCCCAGCCCGGACTCAAACCTGATGCTATCTGGTTCTGGGCACTGAGCTTATATGCTCCCTACCCCAAATGCCCGCCCTGGCAGCTCTCCCAAGGGAGAGGTTTAGGTCAGGGAAAGAGAGAATCAGACCTTAATATTGCTATGGGGGCTGGTCCCACCTCCTGAGCCCCCATGTCAAGGAGAATCCAAGACACCCCAACCGTTCACCTTGGCCGTGCCCCTAATCCTCAACTAAGCCAGGGCCAGATTCCAATCCTCTTTGCCCCATAGGCAGTTCCCTCTGACCTTGGACCTCAGCACCTGGGGAGGCCAAGCCTGTCTAGTGCAGGTGGTGACATGGTAGCCCCTGGGAACTGGGTCCTCTACAGCCTCTAGTCCATCATCTCCAAATGGGACTCAAATGAGAGATGGGAGGACAGCGGTTTGGGAAACTGGGCTGGTGACCCTGTGGGTTCCCAGAGGCCTCGTGTCCTTCTGCTTCCAGGAAATTCCCAATCTCTCTTCCTGTCCCTCCTCTCTCAGCCTCCTGGGGTCAATTTTTTGTTCCTTGTTGAGTCTGAGCCCGCCCCCTCCAGCCTCTTTCCCCGTCTTCTCCAGTCCTGCCTAGTCCCATCCCCCCAGGCACAGCCAACAGCCACTCCATTGTCACCATCCTCTGAAATCATTGAAACATCCTGACCACATGGCCCTGGGACTTCTTCTTTCTAGAAAATGTGCAAAGATCCCTTAGTTACCCTGTGTGCCCATCTTTGGCCTAGAAGATACTCTTAACGCTGTTAGTAAGACCCTGTTTGTACAGACTGCCTCAGATACAGAGTGTGGGAGCTTTTCCCTTCTCACCAACCTCTGCCCTGCACAGTCTGAGGCCCGGCCTCCAGCCACGGGGAGCAGCGGGTCTGGTGAGGAAACACAGTGCAGGTCAGCGGTGTCTGGGCTCTGCTAGGTGAGAGACTAGGCCATCTCATGCTATCACGGCTGCCATACAACCAAACCACGCTGTTTGCAGCAGGGGCATTTGAATCCCTCATCTCAGTTGATTTGATCCTCACGGTCAGGCAGCCAAGCAGATATTTTATCATGCCCATTTCACAGAGAGGGAAAGCAAGGCCCAGAGCAAGACCAGCCACACAGCGGGTGTGTTGGCCGAACCAGGGCCCTGACCGGTGTGGCCCCTCACACGTGGGTCTCCTTCATGCCCTCTCCTGTCCCACCCCCCTCTGGTGTGCAGGTACATCCCAGAGGGCTTGCAGTGCTCGTGCGGGATTGACTACTACACGCTCAAGCCAGAGGTCAACAACGAGTCCTTCGTCATCTACATGTTCGTGGTCCACTTCACCATCCCCATGACTGTCATATTCTTCTGCTATGGGCAGCTCGTCTTCACAGTCAAGGAGGTATGGTCCCATGCTGGGTGCTGGGGACACAAGCGTCAGTTGGGTTGAGCCCGGCCCCTGTTCCAAGGGAGTCTGGATAGCAGGCCCTGTGTCCTTGCAGGCGGCTGCCCAGCAGCAGGAGTCGGCCACCACCCAGAAGGCTGAGAAGGAGGTCACACGCATGGTCATCATCATGGTCATCGCTTTCCTGATCTGTTGGGTGCCCTACGCCAGTGTCGCATTCTACATCTTCACCCACCAGGGCTCCAACTTTGGCCCCATCTTCATGACCATCCCGTCATTCTTCGCCAAGTCGGCCGCCATCTACAACCCCGTCATCTATATCATGATGAACAAGCAGGTGCCTGATGGTGGGGCAGGAGGGTCCAGGGGCCCCAGGCTCCAGGCATTGCCTGCGGAGGACAAGCCATGTCCTGGACTGGGCTCAGTCATTCCACCTGCAAAACCAGGCAGGGAGCCTGGTATCCCCCAGGACATCAGAGTCCTCTGGGAGAAATGCAGAGTCCTGCTGAATCAGAAGCTCGGGGTGGGCCCAGGAACCTGCATTTCTAACAAGCCCTCCGGGTGTCTCTGATGCATGAGAAGTGCCAGTCCAGATGATTCTGGAGGCCCACTTTAAAAGTCAAATAGTCTAAGTCCCAAGCCTAGGAATGGAATGGTGCCAGTCTCCACAAAGCTGAACAAGGAGCTAAACCTTATGCTGAGGGATGAAGGGATAAAGCAGTTCTTTAACATCGATCAGTGACTTCTCTGCAGAATTCATGATCCAGTGGGGAAAAGGTGGTCTCTGGAGTTAGGCATATCGGTTTCAAATCTCAGCTCTCATTTTCTAGCTGTGTGACCCTTAGGCAAGTCATTTCCCCTCTCTGGCTCTCAGTGTCTTCATTCCTAGAGAGGGCAAACTCCTAAACTCTAGGGCTAACTAAGATAACTTACAGATAGCCCTTGGCACACAGAGGGCATCATGGAGTGTCATAAGTAGCAATGCCCCCTTGGGTTTGTTTGGTCCCTGGCATCTCTGGGGTGGGACCATGTGTGCTTACTAAGTTCCCTCCAGGGAGCCAGATTTGAGAGGGGCGTGGAGTCTGTGAGGGCCAGAAGCAGGGAAAGGGTTGGAGGCAAATCTCGTCAACCACCACAGTTTGCTACACACACTTTCGGTGGACCTTGACCCTGACTCTTGTCCCTTGCCTTCCAGTTCCGGAACTGCATGATCATTACCCTCTGCTGTGGCAAGAACCCACTGGGTGATGATGAGGTCTCTGCCAGTGCCTCCAAGACGGAGACCAGCCAGGTGGCACCAGCCTAAGCCCTGCCAAGGACTCTACGGCCTACTGTAGGAGTCTCCCCTTCCCCACACCTACCCCCAGCCACAGCTGCCCCACCGGAGCCAGGCCTGTCGGAACCAGGTTGTGCAGGCTCCCTGAATTAAAAAAAAAAAAAAAGAAAGAAAGAATTATTGAGAGAAAGATGAGGATCCCCACCCGGCCAGGACGCCCCATCAGCAGTCCTGAGTTCCCAGGGGCCAGTGGGATCTCTGCCCCTCCTCCCCCCAACTCATCTCTCAGGAACACAAGAACTCTTGCTCTCTGGAAAAGTGTCCCAGCTTAGGGATAAGTGTCTAGCACAGAGTGGGGCACACAGTAGGTGCTTAATAAATGCTAGATGGATGAAGGAAGGAACGAATGGAGGAATGAGTGAAGGAATGAATGAGCTGGGAGAGCATATCTGTCCTCTCGAAACCTCCTTAGCAGTAGCAGCTCACCCTCAGCTGATGACCTTGAGCAGTGGTTTCCCTCCCTGGGCCTCACTTTCTTTCCCTGTGAAATGGAAATCCCAAATCCCTAATCCCTGGCCCTGCCAACACATGGCTGCTGTGAAGATCAAATAGGATTTTGTGTGTGTGTGTGTGTGTTTGCGTGTGCCTGTGTGTGTGAGAGGGAATGTAAGCACTTTGTAAATGGGGTAAAGAGCTGTACAGATTGTAGTTAGCATTATTAATAATATAAATTAATATAATTAATTAATTAATATGATCATCTCCTCTTGATAGTGACCATTTTGAGATTGGGCAAAGTCCTAAGCATCCACCTCAGCAGGTTTTTTAAAATTAGCCAGGCGTCAAGGCCAGACCAGGGCTGACGGCTGGGCTGCAGGGAGGGACAGTCAAGGGAATGCAGAATGCAGTCATTAGGACTGAAAAAGCGTCAGGGGACTGTGGAGTCTGGGGCCAAGGTCGGGGGTCTCACCTCTGGCATGGAGCCCCAAGCCTGGTGCTTCCTCTTCCCAGTACAGCCTAGGGAGAGATGGGACTTTCTTTCAGCTTCTGCAAACCACCCACTCTCTTGCCCAGCAACTAGGCCACAGCACCTCAGGGGCAGCTTGGAGCTTCTAGAAGCCATATTCACCTGCCCACATTTAATGAAGAGCTGAGTCACCCTTGTCTCAAAGAGCTTAGAAACAAAAAGTTGGAAATTCAGATGGGCCCACCTTCCCTGCGGATGTTCACAGGTCCCGGATTCCAGCTCCCTTGCTTGGTGAGCCTGTCTTCAGTAGCTCCAGTCCATTCTCCATTCTGGAGAGTCTTTGCGGCAAAGCTGGCGGGAATTCTGGGCATCGGAATTGGGCTGCCCCCACAGCTGCCCCTCCTCCACATAACCAAAGCTGGGAGCTCTGGCTGTCCCCAGCCCTGCCCGCACACTAGGCAATTCGGGGCATTAAAAGCTCAGCTCCTATACTCCGTGTTAATGGTGGTGGTTTTTGTTGTTCTCAAGCTCTTTATCTGCAGAGTGGATTGAAATTAGGCAGCTTCCATCTGATCCCTGACCCCCAGGATGCCGGGTTTGGGCAACCAGCAGAGCCCCCTCAGGGTGCGGGGTAGAGGCAGGCCTAGGAATGAGAAAAGCCCCAACTTTGGGGTCACAGAGACCCACATGGCCTGTGAAGCTGCAAGCAAGTTTTGTCATCTCTCTGCGTCTCCTTATCTGCAAAAGGGAATCTTAAACTGAGCTTAAGAGGACTGAAAACTTCCTGTGGCCAGCCTACTTCCTGGCACACTGCAGCTGGTGGGAGACTTTTGACATTACTGGGCCTCAGTTCAGAGCTGGCCTTACCAAGAACATCAACTACAAGGGGAACAAGGACGGATATAGTCCCAAGAGTTACCCTCAACCTCCAAGGTGGGAAAGGGTGGCTGGAGCCTGAGATGGAAGGTCCTCAGTGCCTTCCATGGTGGTGGGGCTGGAGCAGGTAATAGCTGGGATCTCTACTGTGGCCTCTCTTTACTCTGCCTCCCTAAGTGATGTCAGACAGAATTTCTTCAGCTGCAAGTCGCAGGGAATCTAACTGAATAGGGCTGAAGCCAGAGGAAGAAATTACTGGCTCGCATAAACAAAAAGCCCAGGGCTTCCGGCACAGCTGGATGCCGCTCCTCAGATGTCATCTGACTTCTGTATCTCCCTTTCTGGCTACACTTTTCTCTGTGTTGGCTCCACGCACACGCTCACTGTTCCCAAGAGGGGCACAAACGCCTACCAGCAGTCCCAGGCTCAGCAAGCCCTGCAGAAAGTGAGCTGCTTTTTCCTGACAGTTCCAGCAAAGGTCCTGGGTAGGGATCTCATTGGCCAGGCCAGGGTCACCTGATCACCCCTAAACCCCAAACCAGGCTAGAATGGGGATTCATCCTTTGATTGGCCTGGCTTCGGTCACCTGATCATCCCTAAGGCCACCACCAGACTAGAATGGGGATTCATCCACTGATTGGCCAGGCCTGAGTCACCTGATCACCCCAGCAGCCCTACATAAACCAAATGATCTGGGTGAGGGTGGGGACGGGAAGGAGCCCAAAGGGTACTTGGGGGGTATCGTTAGCAGGAGGAGGAGGGCCAGAGACAGGGTGGGCAGAACTAACAGTGGCCCAGAGGGGTTGGCCTCCGTTGAAGTGGGTGATGTCCGGCTGTAGCAGGCCTCTCTCCCACACCGTGGACACGAGAGGGAAGATTTCCATGGCTGGTCCCGCGGGTCTCACGCTCCATTTCAAATGTGCTGGGCAGTGGGAAGGACAGTGGCATTTCAGCTGCCCTGCCTTGCAGGCAGCCCTGTTTCCTCACTGCCCCACCTCTGTCCACTTATTCTGAGGAGTGGTATGCTTGTTTCAGCCCCACATCCAGAGAAAAAAATTGACTCTCAAACCAGAAAAGTCTCTGTTTTTTCCTGGTAGAGAGGAACTCCTCTTTTCCCTCTTTAATTTATCATTGATTTGACAGCCACTTAGGGGCACTTGCCGTATATAAAGGCAAACAGCTGCTGACTTGGGTTGGGTTGAGGGTGTTACCCACCTCACTTCCAGGCTCCAGGTAGCAGACAGGTTTATGGAACCCGTGTTTTTTATGATCATATCTCCACTCAACCTGGTCTAAGGAAGCTGACCCTGGGCCAGGATGTTCTGGGGACTCAGAGATGGATTGGAGGGAGCTAGTCTCTGGGCTGTGACCTGGCCATCCTCAAGGACACAGAGCTCTCTCACCCCCGATCTTGCCTCTGGAAGGACAGAGCGTGAATCAACCCTCCCACCCCCGCACCACCACCAAGTCGGCAAAGCCTGATGGCAGCCTACCCCATGCCCCCCAGTAGAGACATGCACTCCTGACACCCCAGAGTGCCCCCAGAGTGACAGTGGGTGCCCTTCCCAGCCATGCGACCTCAGACAATGTCCCCGAACCTCACTAGGTCTCAGGCTCCTCAGCTTTAAAGAGGAGACTCATCTCAGTTGGTAGAATTATCTATAGAGACTAATGAGATTATTGTTATAAAAACTGCAGTGCATGGTAGACACTCGATAAATGCGATTTCCTTCCCAGAGATGTGAACCAAGTTCAAAAGAGCAGCCCCTGGTGTGGTGGGAGATTGAGCCGCTGGAGTGGTGGTCAAGAGATTAAAATAATGGAGGGGACTCAGGAAAGGTGGAAGCAAGTGCTAGCTGCCCCCGATACTCATTCCCTTTCTTTCTTTTAGTAATATCACTCCAAGTTCTAGCTGAGCACCTAGCCACCCAGCACAGGACAGCATCTCCCAGCTTCCCTTGCACCTGTGGTGCATGACATTAAGGTCTGGCCAATGGAGTGTTACTGGAAGTGGTATGTGCAGTTCTGGGTTGCACATTTCAGAGAATGGAGGCATCCTCCCCTTCTCTTGTTTCCTGTCTGATGGCTGGAATGTGGTCATGATGACCAGAGCTGCAACCAGAGCTTTCTTGTATCATGATGGGGAATCTGTGGTCAGAGAACAGCAGAAGGAGCCTGGCTGGGGCTCCCATGCTACCTTCCAGCCCTGCACAACTTACTCTTAAAGAGTCTCATGAGAGAATGATTTCATGGTTTTTTGTTTAAACTACTGTTATTTTAGAGATACAGCTGGTTTCTTCACTAACACAGAGGGCTTCCAGGTTCCAGCCCAGGGTCTAGACTCAGGAAGATCTAGTGCAGGTCCTCTCTGAACTTTAACTTCTTCATGTATAAATAAAACAGTGAATATAAAAATGTACATGGACATAGAACATGATAGCTATTGCTATTTCTACCCTGCCTTCTATGCATTTATTGACTAAAGTCACAAATGCCCTGATGCTACAGGGACTAGAGTTACACAAAACAAACACTCTATTGTTGCTTCTAAATATCTAGAACTGTAATCTTCAGAACTATGAAAGAGGGGCGCCTGGGTGGCTCAGTCATTAAGCGTCTGCCTTCGGCTCAGGTCATGGTCCCGGGGTCCTGGGATCGAGCCCCGCATCGGGCTCCCTGCTCGGCGGGAAGCCTGCTTCTCCCTCTCCCACTCCCCCTGCTTGTGTTCCCTCTCTCGCTGTGTCTCTCTCTGTCAAATAAATAAATAAAATCTTTTTTAAAGAAAGAAAAAAGAACTATGAGAGAGTTCACATGTAGGAGGCCCCCACTCAGTGTTCGAAGATGGTAAAACAGTTGTCAGCAGGACTTAAATCCCATACCGGCCTCAGTAGGAGTCACATAAGTACACAGAGCAGCCCTTCCTCTCTCAAGCAGTCTGGGCCTCACAGTTATCATTTTCCTGTAAAAAGGCAATCCTCTAGAAGAATTTTTAGATCTGCAGCGCATTTTAGAACTTCTTCCCTCCAAATGCAAAACTCTATCCTGGCACAGCCCAGGAGCAGGGTTTCATCTGAAGCTTGTGGGAATGTTTGTATCTCTGAGTCTTTCTCTATTTCTCAATTCTTGGAAATTCCCCACAATGTGATCAAAATTGCTGCCCCTGTTCGTGCCAGCACCATGTGCCTCTTTGCCTCATCTCTCCTCCCGCTCTAACGTGGTTCCTGCAGATGGTCCTCAGTCCTCTCTCCACTCAGCCAGGCTGGGCTCTGGCACGGGGGTTCCACAGCAGTGGGTGCTGAGTGCCTACTGTGTGCCAGGTGCTGTGCTAGGCGCCTGAGATACCACCAGGAACAAGACAGACACGGCCCTGCCCAACGCCCCCGTGCCCTCCAGAGCTCAGGGGCTAGTGTGGGAGAGTTGTACCTCGGGGTGCTGGAGGTCCCAGGGGCTGTTGGAACCAGAGGAGGGGATTCTAACCTCCTCAGGGGTCAGGGAGGGCTTTTCTGAGCTACACTGAGGCCAAAAGGATGAATGGGAAACAATCCAGAGAAGGTAGGTGGGGGTGAAGAAAGGCCTTCTAGGCAGACCGTATCAGTTAGCTTATGCTGCATGACAAACAACCCCCAAACCTCATGGCTTAAAACAACACACCAGGTATTGTTGCTTGTGACTCTGTGGGTCAGCCACGTGCTTCTGCTGATCTGGACTCAGCTTGGTTAATTTCTGCTGGGCTCATTAAAGCATCTGTGGTCAGCTGGAGGTTTGGCTGGTGGGCCAGCTGTGGGCTGGGTGACGGGGGTGACTAAGCCACGGGCCTCTGAGCATCCAGCAGGCTAGCCAGGGCTTGTTCTCATGGGGTTGGGACTGGCAAGCTATCACTTCCACCATATTCTGTTCGTCAAAGCAAGTCACAAGGCTCAGATTTAAGGAGTGTGAGAGGAGTTGCAGAGTTATATGCAAATGCACATGGATACGGGCAGGGGTGAGAAATTGGGGCCATTTCCGCATCCACTGAACACACACACAAAAGAAACACAAAGGAGAAAGGCCAGCTCTTAACATCTAGCCCATTCCAAGAGCCACAGCAGTTGGACTGCGGGGTTCCAGGGGGAAAGGGGCTCCATTAGCCAGACTCAAGAGGTCAAGCTTCCACTTATGGGCAGTGGGGAGCTATGAAGGGTGCTAGGCCAGAGAGTGATATCTAATTTCACTTTAGAACACTTTGATGGCCTCCGCCTCCCTCAATCCAGACATCTGGTCATGGAGAGTCCCCTGGAAAAATCCCAACAATAAAGAGACTACAGGGAGAAGAATGCAAGTCTGTTTTAAACCTGTCCCCTCCAAATCCTACACTCTCCTTAGAGGTAACCACTGCTATTACTTTGGTGTGAATCCTTTCAGACCTTCTTCTGTGCCTTCACTTACACAAACAAATGCCCACACACGTGCTCATACACTCACACACACGTTCTCTCTTCTCAGAAGAGCAGAGCATATTCCACAGACACATCCCAGTTCATTCATTTTCATTTTTTAAAAATTATTTATTTATTTATTTAAAGTAGGCTCTGCACCCAACATGGGGCTCGAACTCATGACCCCAAGATCAAGAGCC